ACTTTGCCTGATCCCTCACTGGTTGAGATGTTTGCCATGGTTCCACCGTTGTGAATGTCTCTGCTGTTAAAATTATGTACCATCCTGAAGGATGTCTACCACTCCCATGAAACCATCAAGCCCACAGGGCAAGGAAGAACATGCTGTTCATGGTTTTCAATGGTTTCTACTAACGTACCACCCTGGACACACACAGTATACCGATACAGCTTCTAGAGGGACACATAAGATCGGGGTAGACTAGGTAATATCTAAGATATTACAGCTCAACATTCAGTAGGATGTCCTAGAGAACAGTTTATTTGTTCCTCATGAATATTAATAATAATCTTTCCAAGTTCTTTCATGTGTTACTACTGCTTTCTAGTAGATTTGAATATCTGACTGTTCTTTTTGATTTTTATTTATTATTATCATTTATTACAATTTATTCAATTTGTATCCTGGCTGTGGCCCACTCCCTCTTCTCTTCCTAATCCCACCCTCCTTCCCTCTTCCCCCCCTATGCTCATCCCCTAATCCACTGATAGGGGAGGTCCTCCTCCCCTTCTATTTGATCCTAGCCTATAGATCTCATCAGGACTGGTTGCATTGTCTTCTACTGTGGACTGGCGAGGCTGTATCCCCCAGGGAGAGGTGATCAGAGATCCTGTCACTGAGTTCTTGCCAGAGAAAGCCCCTGCTCCCCTTATTATGGACCCCACTTGGATGTTGAGTCTATGGGCTACATCTGAGCCTGGTTTTTATGTCCTCTCCATGCATTGTCCTTGGTTGGGGTATCAGTCTCTGCAGGACCCTCAGGGCTCAGGTTTTCTTTTGGCTCTGTTGCTCTCCTTTTGGAGCTCCTGTCCCCTTATCTGAGTGTTCTTTAAAGGTAAATTAAACATTTCCCTCTGGAATGATCTCAGAGTGACATTTCAGAAAACTTACTTTTCTTTTAAGAGACATATAAATGCCAAATTAATTAATATCAACACTTAGTCTCTCCTATAACATGTACCATAAAGTGAAAGAAAGAAACATGAGGACAGAAATTATTCTACAGAGGCATCAATCACTGGATTTAGGTCTTATCTAAGAAGCTTACAGTAACCTGTTAGGTTTTTAATGTATTTGAGTGATGAAAGATAAGCCTAGGACATAATGAGGCTATAAAACTTCATGGGCGATCCTGCTACAAAGTCAGTAAGACATCCCTAAACACTAGTGTAAAACAAAATTATTGTTGACAACAGAGACTGACCCTTTCAAACTCAGCTAGATTTAGAGCTGAAATAAGCAATCAGCTAATAAAAAAAAAATTTTTTTTAAACCACTCTAATCCAAAATTTTGTAACTAATGTCAAGGCAATAGTTCTTGTAGGTGTCTCTAGAAGAAAAGAAAAAAAAAAAAAAAAAAAACAGGAAATCAAGAGCTTGAGCTTGAGTGCTTCCTATCTCATATGGCACATAAGGAAACAAGGCAGCATTGGAGTAGCCCCGGTTTACCAGCGAAGTCAAAGAATATCAAAAGTACAAAAGGCCAGGTGTGGCGGCACATGCCTGATCTCAGTATCTTGGAGGCAGAGGCAGGTGGAGTTCTGTGAGTTCGAGACCAGCCTGGTCTGCAAAGAGAGTCCATTACAGCCAGACCTATACAAAGAAACCCTGTCCCCCCCCCCAAAAAAAAAAGAAAGTACAAAAGACTTAAAGTAGGACTATGTAGGTTTTAGAATTTTTTAAATAAAAACTCAAATTAATTGATAAATGCATGAAACAACTGTTATACAATACTACATAGAGGATTGGGGAACTGAAAAACACTTGGAAAAAAATTACCAAAACAGCACAAATAAACGATGAAAAAAGAGTATAAATAAGACATAAACCCAGAGAGGTTGTATGAGAAGCTTATTTCTATAAAATCCTTTACATGTATTTACTTCATGTATATGGATATTTTGCCTGCAGGCATGTGTATGTGCCTCACATATATGCCTGGTGCCTGTGGAGTGCAGAAGAGGGCATCAGATCACCTGCAACAGGAGTTAACAGATGATTGTGAGCCCATGTGGGCACTGGGTATGGAAATGAGCAGAAGTGCTTCAGTCCGTTCAAAAGAAGATTAGATGGGGCGAATAGAAGAGATGCAGAGAGAGTCCCAATAAGATGGTAGAGTTAAATATTGCACATTCTCACGCACAACTGAGATAACTGGAATAAACTATTCGTTGAATAGACAAAGATTATCAGAATAAATAAGGAAAATTTTGTGTGTAAACCGTTTACATAAAATGTTCCTGGCTGGGTATGGTGGTGCATGCCTTTAATCCCTGCATTTGAGAAGCAGAAGTAGGTGGACCTCTGTGAGTTTGAGGTAGCCTGATCTACAGGGTGAGTTCCTGACTATCTAGAGCGATCCCATCTCAAAACAAAACAAAAAAAGATTCCCAAATAAGAATTTATGGAAAGTTGAATAAGATAATTAGAAATATAAGTACTTGTTTATAGGATATTAATTATTTCATATTTCAAGATGAAAATTTTCTGGAGAGTGGATACGCAATAATGTAGACACACTTAGTACTTGAACAATAAACATGGATGTAGATGAAATGGTAAGTTTAAAATTGTGTACATTGTATCACATCTAAAACATTTTTAAAGGGTTGGAAATGTTACACTAAACTAGTAAAACAAGAAATAAATTGGTGTTGATTAAATATTACTATTTTAATGTGATTGTTTAAGAATATATACAATTTTAATATCCCAATCAAAAGTACCTGAGAATAATGCTACATCAAGATCCAGCTATTCCACTCCTGTTCTACCATACAACAAGGACATTTGCTCAGTCATGTTCATAGCAGCTTTATTCGTAAGAGCCAGAATCTGGAAACAACCTGGATGTTCTCAATAGAAAAATGGATACAGAAGTTATAGTACATTTACACAATGGAGTACTGTTCAGCAATTAAAAACAAGGGAATCATGAAATTTGCAGGCAAATGGTGGGAACTAGAAAAGATCATCCTGAGTGAGGTAACCCAGAAGCAGAGAGACAGGCATGGTATATACTCACTTATAAGCAGATATTATCCATAAAATATAGGATGAACATACTAAAATCCACAGACCTAAAGAAGCTAAACAAGGAGGACCCTAGGAAAGAGGCTTAATCCTCATTCAGAAGGGCAAACAGGATAGACCCAGGATGGGAGCCTACCACAGATGTCCTCTGAAAGACTCCAGCAGCAGGGGATCAAAGCAGATGCAGAGACCCACAGCCAAACTTTGGGCAGAGTGTAGGGAGCCTTATGGAAGAAGGGGGAAAGAAGGACCCAGAGGAGTCAGGAACCACACCAGGAGACCAACAGAGCCAAAAAAGCTGGGCCCAGGGGGCCTGCAGAGACTGATGCATCAGTCAAGGACTATGCAGAGAGAGGACCTAAACCCCCTTCTCAGATGTAGCCCATAAGCAGCTCAGTCTCCAAGTGAGTTCCCTAATAAGGGGAGCAGAGGCACTCTCTGACATGAATTCAGTTGCCTGCTCTTTGATTTACTTCCCCCTGGTGGGGTGACCTTACCATGCCACAGAGAAAAAGGATCTAAGCAATCCTGATTGACTTGATAAGCTAGGGTCAGATAGTAGGGGAGGAGGACTCCCCTTTTCAATGCACTAGGGGAGGGGAAGCGGGGAAGAGAGAGGGAGAATGGGACTAGGAGAAGATGAGGAAAGGGGCCACAGCCAGGATACAAAATGAAAAAAGTTGTCTTATGAAAGAAGTGGGAAATAATAGTAAGAGCTGGAGAGGACAGGAGGTCCACAAGGAGAACAACAGAACCAAAAAAATTGAGCACAGGGGTCTTTCCTGAGGCTCATACTCCAACCAAGTACCATGCATGGAGATAACCTAGAACCCCTGCACAGATGTAGCCCATGGCAGTTCAGTGTCCAAGTGGGTTCCATAGTAATGGGAACAGGGACTGCTTCTGACATGAACTGATTGGCCTGCTCTTTGATCACCTGTCCCTGAGGGGGGAGCAGCCTTGCCAGGCCACAGAGGAAGACAATGCAGCCACTCCTGATGAGACCTAACAGATTAGGATCAGAAGGAAGAAAAAGAAACCCTCCCCTACCAGTGGACTTGGGGAGGGGAGTATGTGGAGAAGGAAGAGGATGGGAGTGATTGGGAGGGGAGAAGGGAGAGAACTAGAGGGGGGGGACACAAAGTAAATAAAGTATAATTTAAAAAAGAATAAAAGAAGTGGAAAGAAAAGAAATAAATTTTAAAAATTCAAAAAATAATAATAATAAAGAAAATAATAATAAAAAAAGAAAACAACATAGATCATTCATCAAGATTGGCTACAATAAAGGCCATTAAATCTCAGCACACTTTGATTAGTCACCATCATGCAAACTATATTCTGTGATCATAACAAATGGAAAAATCAATCACAATTTTTGAACATTTTCAAGCCAGTATAAAGACATTGCTTCATTCAGTTAGTTGGGATTTAGGGGGCTCAGTAAATCAATCCCCACCTCTCACCTGAACTTAGAAATAAAATTTGAGATTACTCAAAAATGCAGAAAAATTATAATTTCCTAGAAATTAAATTACCATTTTATTTTAAAAGCTTTACTGTAGAACACGGCTTAGGGGCTGTTCCTAACTGAGATCGCAGCCTGAGGCTGAAGATGATATCCATAGGGCCAGCCTCCTCCTCCCAGCTCACTGCACAGCCCAGGGTGAGCCAACATGCTCATTCCCCACATATCCAAAGAGAGGCCAGGTACGCAGGTGCTCACTGATACTCCCAAAGTCACAATCAAACACGTCATTTCTTTCACAGGAAAGGAAAAGTACATGTGGTAAAGAGGTGGAACGTCTTTGTTCTTTCTATATTCCTTCTGCGTGGAAACACGGGATGATTGATGAGGGTCTCCCTAACGCTAAGGAGGAATAAAGGTGAAGAACACAAAGAAAAGACACGTATCTTAGCATCATTACCTCCTTCTTGGAGCTGAGCTGTGATGTTGAGCTCACACTGCACTTTAGCTTTCATGACAAGAACAATCTGCTCTTCTATAGTGACGGTGCCATCAGAATCCAGCTGTGGAGGCAAACGAAACTCCATCATTCCCCATCATCTTAAAGGCAGGATAACACCCTCATTATTTCATTTCCAATCAAGCTATCTGAAACACTTTTCTATCAGAATACACTATGGTGGTTTGAATATCCACTGTCTCCCATAGGCTCATGAGCTCAATGCTTGTTCCCAGATGGCAGTGCTACTTGGGGGACACTTCAACAACCTAGAAGATGGGATAGAGCTGAAAGAGTTAGGTGGCCACCCTGGATGTGGGTTCTTGGTAGTACGTTATCCATGTACTATCCTATCTCATCCCTGCTTCCTATTGGCCATGAAGTGAACATCTCTACTCCAACACATGGTTGGATCACAATGTTTGGTCAGATTTCACGGGAATCAGTCAACTGTACACACTGGATCGTGTAAGACTGTGAGCCAAAATAAATCGATCCTCCCTTAAGTTTGTATCGTCAGGTGTCTGGTCACAGTAATAAAAGGGTAACTAATACACATATCAGCGTTATCTTTTTGTCTGATTTTTAATGTAGTACCAGAAAAATGTAAGGAAACTCTAAGCTGTGGTTAGGTAATTACATTAAAAATAATGTAACTGGAATAAATCATCAACAGCAAAATGCCTAGCATGGTGTAAAGGCGGAATACATTACTAATTCTTTCATAACATGACAATTTTGTCATATAGAAATAAAAGGCTAAATTTAGCTCTATTAGAAAATAACATGCCACATTTCATCTAACTTTGGATTTATTTCTCTATAATGAAAGAAATAGGTTAGTCTAAATGACCTTCATCCATCTTGCCTTAAAACTGGGAACTTTAAAATATGCACCCACATATCTACTGTCCATTTGATCCATATTTATTACTTTCATATGAAAATAATGTGCTTTATGAATGAAGAAAAGGACATAATATCTAGTACAGTAAACAGATTTGTGCAAGCATTTTTCCTTACCTTAGAGTGACAAGAAAATTGTGGTGTAGTTAAAACAGAGGAGGAATCTTCCTCCCAAGTGTCTATTACTCCAAAAACAACACTTGCATCTACAACAAAGTGTTACATTTAGTAAAGCAGACATTAGACCTTTGTTCTGGGCAAGTGTGCTCATTTGTAACTTGAAAGAAAATTGAGTTCCAATGTCACAGACCTAAGGTTTAAGAGAGGCCCTGATTTGATAGGGTGTATTATGATGAAAGTTCATAAAGTTGTCATTGCAAATATAAATTCTTAATATTTATATCTTAATATCATAATATTAATGCCCTCGTGATTACAATGCCATGGGTATTCCATTTTCAAGTAGATATTATGTCATAAACTAGATATATTCAAAAGAAAACACTCTGGGACTTTAGAAACAATAGAGTAGGCATACCTTCCCTTATTCCTTTAAGAAACCACAACTAAAACCCCTGGAATAGAAATAGAGTCGATGTATATAGGATATAGATATGGAGAGAGGGGAGGAAAGATAGATGATAAATAGATAATGATGATGATTATAGATAGATGAATCAAAGATAGATAAATAGATGAATAAAAGATAGAAGATAAATATATAGATAGATGAATAGAAATAGGTAAATAGATTAATAGAAGATTGATAAATGATAGATAGTTAAATAAATAGATGAATAGAAGATAGATAGATAGATAGATAGATAGATAGATAGATAGATAGATAGATAGATAGATAGATAGATAGATAGATAGATAGACAATATTAAGAAGCTTCTGAGAGGTTCAGAGAAAAAAGCACACCATGCACAACCCCAGATCCTACAGAATGACACAGTGGAAAGCTGCTTTCATTTTCTTTCTGACACATACACCACGAGAGTGTAGTTAAAGTAGTTGGAAACTCTGAAACACTAACAAAGATAAATTGGCCTCAAGAAAAGCCTCTGCATCCAAGAAAGGAAAAGGGCATCTGACAAGACAGAAAACTCACAGACGTTAGTAGTTTGACTCCAGTCAATTAACAGCCATCTGTGGGGAGCCTGAACATGTATCCTATAGAGCAAGGCTGTAGGGAAGCACCCGTACAATCTCCCACAGTGGTCTGACAGAAAGGGAAAGAACAGAACACTAGCCTAAACAAGCTGCCCTTTTCACCCTCAATATCTGTGTGTTAATAAAGATCACGTTGGCAAGCTAGGAGCAAGAAGCATTAAATGGAGAGAGAAAAGGGAGGGCAGAGGGCAGAAAGAAATGGAAGGCATGATGACAAACACTAAAGACATTTCAAAGTCATATGAAAACCCACTGCGGCAGCACCTTCCATCTGTACAGTTTAAATTGGAATTACACTAGAACAGGGCAACAACGTCCCTTCTCGACACCACAGACAAACAAAAAGCCCAGTGCCAGGAATGGGTTACCTCTTTCGGAATTGTTGGCCAATAACTTCCTGTACATTCCCAAATATTACAGGCTATTGCCCATGCTCCTGGGTATCGCCAGAACTTGATAGTAAAACCTGATTGTTAAACAAGGAGAAATCAAACTGGTACTCGCCTGGGACTTTCATCTCTCTGTCTTGCTATGAACACTAACGGAGGAGAAAAGTTAACTACCAATCTTACTCGTTTGTGAACTCTGTGAGCTACAACATCAGGCCTGTCAAGACATGCCCACTGGAGCGACAGTGCCATCACGGGGGCAGCCAACCACCTTACAACTGGATTTAACGCATACTCCACAAGATCAAACCCATATCTGCCATCATCCATGGGAGCTGAAACCTATGGCTAGACAGTCCACAGGCCCTAGGGGAGCATCTGCTACTATCATTCTGCTAAATGTGCTTAGTATTAACCTGACTCTTAATGGCTTCTGCCTACAGGTTAGCTTCCTTCTCAACTCTCATTATTGTATCAGATGGCGACTAACACAGAGATTCACAACTAGTCAGGGGACAGAGGATAAAAGGCTAAAAAATGCTCAGCTCTAGAGGCAACATCCATACCACAGCCCCTCCTCCCAGTCCTCGGGGATCACTGCGGAAGAGGAAGTGGGAAGACTGTAAGGACCAGAGGCAGTGGACGACTACAAGGAAACAGCTTTCCAGATGAAGCAGTGCATTGCACATATTAGCTAATGGCAGTTGTGACTGCATGCACAAGACCTCTACAAGCTCGAGCCAGACATAGTCCCGGAGACGAGCAGGGGTGGGTCCAAGTCCCCACCCCTATCTGATGGGATATGAGCAATCGATAAATGGTGGGAAAGGGAGAACCAGTTTTCCATAGTGGTGCGGCCCCTGGTAGGCTGGCCATGATCCACATACATCCAAGAGTATATGAGCTGCACAGATAGGACATGGTAACATTTCAAAATTAAGGCGGGGGGGCAACTGTACACTATTTTATGAGGGCTATCTTCTGTGTCTTGAACGTATCTTGGTTGTGATATCTCAGTCTGATTTTGTTGTTATCATTTGGGGAAGGTGGATAAATTATATATTAGATTATTTTTAGTACTTTTAACAAATGCATGGAAGTTTTATGACCACAAAAGGGTATGTTCTTTTTTTAAAAAAAAGTTTCTTCCAAACAGAATAGCAAGAAGAGAGATTTTTAAATGTTCTCACCCAAATATCAGAAGTGATGGTACAGTACTTACTCGGATTTCATTAAATATATATTGAACACATGCATGAAAACGTCACACTTGCGTTAGGAATGTAGTTCAGTTGGTAGAGAATGTTCCTAGCATTCACAGAGTCCTAGGTTGAATACCAGTACCCCATCAGCCAGGAGTGGTGGTGCACATTTACAATCCCAGAACTTGAGAGACTGAGATAGGATGATCAGAAGTTCAAAGTCATCCTGACTTCATAGGAAGTTTTTATCCAGTCTGGGTCAAAAAAATATATCTCAAAAAATCCTCTGAAAGCCTCTGCAGTATAGACTGTCAAAGCAGATGCTGAGCCTGATGGCCAACTGATGGGCAGAGTGAATGGAATTTTATGTAAGAAGTGGGAAGTAGTAAGAGCTGGAGGGAATGGGAACTCCACAAGGAGAGCAACAGAACAAGATAATTTGAACACAGGGAACTTCCCAGAGACTCATACTCCAACCAAGGACTATCCGTGGAGATAACCTAGAACCCCTGCACAGGTGTAGCCCATGGCAGTTCAGTGTCCAAGTGGGTTACATAGTAATGGGAAGAGGGACTGCCTCTGACATAATCTGATTGGGCTGCTCATTGATCACCTCCCCCTGAGGGGGGAGCAGCCTTACCAGGCCACAGTAGAGGACAATGCAGCCACTTTTGATGAGAACTGATAGACTAAGATCAGAAAGGAGAGGAGAACCTCCCCTATCAGTGGACTTGGGGAGGGGCATGCAGGCAGAAAGGGGAGGGAGGGTGGGATGGGGAGGGGAGGAAGGAGGGGCTTATGGGGGGATACAAAATGAATAAAGTGTAATTAATAAAAAATTAAAAAAAGAAAAAATATATCATACAATAACCTATAAACTGTACAGTCATTATATGTCTACTGTATTGTTTTGATTGATTGGTTTTGTTTGTTTATTTTTGTTGTTTTTATTTTGGTTTTTGGTTTTTTCAAGACAGGGTTTCTCTGTGTAGTCTCAACTGTTCTGGACTTGCTTTGTAGACCAGGCTGGCCTCAAACTCACAGAGATGCTCCTGTGTCTGCCTCCCTGAGTGCTGTGATTATAGTGTCCAGCTTACTATTGTACGTTTTAAATATTGCTTCACAGCAGTAAATTTGCCACAAGATTATTATTTTTTAATTTATTACAATTTATTCACTTTGTATCCCAGCTGGAGCCCCCTCCATCACTCCCTCCCTCTCTCTTCTCCTCCTATGCCCCTACTCCCAGTGCACTGATAGGGGATGTCCTCCTCTACTTCCAGCTGACCCTAGCTTATCAGGCCTCATCAGGACTGGCTGCATTGTCTTCCTCTGTGTCCTGGTAAGGTTTTTTCCCCCTTCAAGGGGAGGTGATCAAAGAGCCAGCCACA